AGAGCCCTACATCGCATAGAATATGTTTTACAGTCTTCTACAATAGTCATTGTAAGGTGCACCTAGCCCGCTAGCATGTCTACCAATTAGACAGTGACCTGTTAGCACTCATTTCAGAGTTCTTATGTCATTCCTTTTGAATTTTAAAAGTCGGTTTGTGCGGCTGATGCTCCATTCCTGCTACGTTTGCCTGATAGTTGAGCAAGTCAGTGATTGTCTCCACTCTACCGAGACTCAGCTAGATTTATAACATGTTCGCTGATTAAGTGTTTACAAGTTGCCAGAGGCATAAAAATTCCCTCTTTTTAAGAGTCTAATTGTAGAGTGGTACCTGTTCTAGCTAGTTCATCTGCTTCGCAGTTACCAGGGATACCACTATGCCCTGCAACCCCTAGCAGGTTTATCGTAAAGTAGGATGTTAGATCCTCTAAGAGATCAAGACATTCTTTCACTTTGATGAAACCATAGGAGACTTCAGTGATTGAAGCTGCTTGGCAATCCGTATATATGAATATGGTCCTTGTTGTGAGCACATTTTTTTGTCAAAAAAAAAAGGTTTTCTTTGATTGCTGTTATCTCCACTTGGAAGACACTGCAGTGGTCTGCGATTCCCTGCATTTCTCTCCACCTCGTCCCTTTCCTACTCTTCTCTGGTAGAGAAGGCAATATTGGGGACCGAATTTAGTTTCAATTCTATTGGATTACGAAAATCTGTGGTAGTGGGTAGAAACGGGAACTTACTAAGTATCTTAGAATATCCCTTATTACAGGCGACTAATTGGGAAGGTTTCCTCAGTCTGAGAGCTGACTTGGCTGCCACTTGCTTACAGAACAAGTCTGTTGGACGTAAATGTAAAATGACGTTTAGTGCCTGAGTTGGCGTTGTTCTAAGAGTTGCATATGATGCATATACTGGCTGCTCTTTGTATGCTTTCTATACGCCTCATTGCGTATTTCTTTTCCATTATTGGCCACCATACCAATATACCGTAGTCATAATCAATCTAACAACTACTGTGTAGAGGCAATAAGCTACCCGAGGCGTTAGTCCCTATTTGGGTCCCACCAGTCGTTTGCAGGTGTGGAGTGCTATAGATGCTTTCTTCACCCTAGCATCTAAGTTTGGTTTCACTGAAAGCTTCCTATCTAAGATTAGTCCTAAGTATCTCGGCTTATCTCCAATTGTTAGTCTGCATTTAATACTGGCCCCGTAACTTCTGAAGTATTGTGTTTCCTGGTGAACAATACTAGCTCCGCCTTACTAGTATTTAAGTTTAGTCCGCACAATACGGCCCAATGATTTATATCGTCTAAAATTGTTTGCATAAGGTTAGCGAGAATGTTCGGTAAATTTACCTCTAATCGAAACCGCCACATCGTCAGTGTAGATCACAACATGTACTCTATTCTTTTCTAGATCCAACAGCAACTTATTCATTGTCAGGATCCAGAGAAGTGGGAATAACACGCCTCATTAAGGTGTACCCCTTTGGACAGATCTGCATATCGTTGAAGCTCCAGCGTTGAAATTATTGACCTGCTCGTGAGCATCTGTTCAAATATTTTTCTGAGAGGTTCAGAGATGTCCAGATCCTTGAGCGCGATCAGTATGGCCCTAGGCTGGATATTATTGAACGCACCTTCTATATCTAAGAAGGCAATTCGAGTGTATTCTTTAACTTCTTGAGAATCTCCGCCACCACAGAGCTTAGTGCTGTTTCTGTGGATTTTTCTTTAGAATACGCATGCTGCGAAACAGGCAACTTTTCTGGTTTTATTTTGTTTCTTATATGTAATTTTGTTAGTCTTTAAAAAGTTTTTAGGAGAAACGAGGAGAGGCTAATTGGTCTGAAATCCTTTTGACTTGTATGTGAGCTTTTGCCCGCCTTAGGTATCTATATTACCTTGTCTTCTTTCCATAGCGAAGTTATTATATTATATGGAATTCGGCGACTGCTGTAATTGAGCCGGGAATAAACCGGCGACTTGAAAGGCTACCTGGGAAGTGGGTATCCATTAGTAAGCCTAGTGACTCTTCACTGGATACCGTCCAGCTGTGATCTGACTTCTGAAGATATCCAATGCTGTGTACAGATGTGCCAATATTTTCCTAAGTCGAGACCCTTCCGCCGTATTCTCGATATCTCTACAAAAAGATTTCCAAGAATTTCTTTTTGCTCCGCTAACCTCCTTTTTGTTTGACTTTAGGAGGTTTTAATAATTATCCCAATCTACCTCGCTGTCTTTCTGTAATTTTTTAAGTTCGGGAGACCACCATGGGTGCCTAATTCTACCCTTACTTTGTATTATCGGACAAGCCACCTCTAATGCTTGCCGGCAAATTTACATGAATCGGGGCTCTTACACCAGCAGAGGTGGCACATGCTCCTTGTCGTACGGCAAGACACTAGCCGGTAACTGCTTGTTCCCGTTTCCCAGCTGACTGCTGCTGTGTCATGGTTGCTATAGCGATGTAACATAAAAACGTTATGGGGTTTCTTTGAAATTATACAATTAGCCATATATAGCTTGTAGTTCGGTGTCCTCAATCCGCAAATACGCCCTTCATTAACCCATGGGTTCTGAATGAGGTCAAACTAAGGCTGTTCTATTGCCACGTGGTTAACTAACTCTCTCTCAGTATAAAGGTTTGAGAGTGTGTCAGCAAGTTAAGACCCTTCGTGAACCCATAACTGATCTCCCTGCCACTTTTCACCAGCGGTTCGAGGGACTTCTTTGTAAGTAACAGCAGAATCTGCATCGTGGTCCTTTTGGTCTCCACGCCTCTCTCTCTGTCCGGCTACGGGATCCTCGAAGGCCTTAACAAATTTCCACCGGATTGCAGGCTCTTATGAGCTGCATAATCTGGTCCGCTGTGATGGTGTAGCCGGGATCCAGACCCTTGGCTTGGTCTGGACGGTATGTCCCTTATGTCTACCGCTACCAATTTAGCTCCGATCTCTCGTTATCGCACGCAATCAATATGATCTGGCCCTGTTACCAGCAGGCATCTATTCATGACAGTGGCGGTCCTGGATTGCTTAGAAGCCCCTTTAGCGCCACATTTGACAGCTAGGCTTGTCGGCGCAGCCTGCACCCATTTCCATTGGGCTTTGCGGATTCTTCCTTGGGGATCTCCTTCATCCAGCACGCCAATAATAATTCGGTTTCGGGCCAAATCGGCAAATGATTTTGCTGGCGTTACACCCTTTGTTTTTGGTTTCTTGGCTGACGGCTTCGCCTCTTCAGCACACCTCTGTCGCTTGGCTACTTACTGGCGGTTTGGTATGTCTGCTCTCGCGCAGTCAATCGATTCCTGGAGCTCCTTCGTTAGCACCTCTTGCCTTCGTCGGGTTCTGAATTTTGAAGAAAGGCCACTTTTTGGCAGACACACTACCAACAGCAGCCCCTTTGGCATCTCCCTCCTCCCCCTGCTTAGCAGCCGAGCTTTGGCGACAGGGTTTGGATCTGGCTACCTCCGGTGCTACTACTTTCTTGGAGCCAGCCTTAGCTTCCGCTCCTTTACTAGTGTTTGCATTTTCGCATGGACCAAGCTTCGCTCCTGTTCTCATGCTGGTTGCTTTCGAGCTCGGACCGACCGCTGCTCTGTTTTGGGAGCAACTAGGTCCCTCCGGCTTTTTTATAGGAGATCCGTGCTCCTTTACTTTTGTGTTTGTTGTATTCTTTTTGTTGTTCAGGCTCATAATAGGTCCCACGAATGTAGGGGAAAGTGTATCCGTTTGCGGATAGCCCCCACTACGCAAGTAAGATTATCTTATTACGGATGGCGCCAGGTATCCGTAAGCTTCGTTCGAAACTAGGTTATTTAAGGGCTCCAGTCAGCTTGATCCAGCTCTTTTTGTACCCCCGACCATAGTAAGACTGTATGTTCTGATAATGAGGAGAAACTAACACACGGTTAAGAAATCTGACCTTAGCAAGATTCCTCACAACTAAAGCAGGGGCGAACTGTTACCAGCCCGTACTTGCTTACGTCGTGAAACTGCACAAAGATACACTGTTATTAGGAAAATGCGCTCTCTCTAAATTTTATTTAGATAACTCAAATATTGACTGTTATATGCGGTATAAAGTCACCCGGAAATTTAAAAATCTTTGTATTAGGTATATGGGAGCTAAAAGAATTGACCCGATTCAATTAATTTTTGGCACTCAGACATACTATCATCAGGTAAGCACCGAATTTCAATTATATATCTCACACATTGACCAATATATTCGATAAAATGTCATCTATAGGCACTGGGATCCACATATTCGTTACCTTTTGGTTTAACTTGGACAATTTTTAATCATCCTTTTCACCTATTTTCACCCTATTGTGAGAAGGGTAGAAAATATTTGTTGTGTGCAAATTTGGGTGATATAGGTTAATTGGTTTGGGATATATATCTACATTATACTTATTAGGGGGCCGGACCACGCCCACTTTTTTAATATATTAAAACTAGGTGTACATATCTAATTAGATTCGTTGTGGCAAATTTGAGTTCTGTATCTTAATTGACAGCTTAGTTATAGCACTTTATACGTTTTCGATTAAGAACTAAGAACTCGTTCTTACTTTTTCTCGAAGGAACATGTTTACCAAGTTTCATTACTTTATCTCAATTTTTACTCAAGTTACAGATTGTACAGACAGACGGACAGACAGACATCCAGATTTCAAGTTGTCTCAACATCCTGATCATTTATATATACATAACCCTATATATATCTCGATTAGTTTTAGGTGATACAAAATAGCGTCAGGTGAACAAAACTATTATACTCTGTAGCAACATGTTGCAAGAGTATAAAAATATCGGCTCTTTTTTCTGCGAATTTGTTCTCGCTGTATGCATTGTAAACTTTGTAACAATTTATGGCAAGACTAGGTATATATTATATATTACTATTTATACATACAGTTGTAAGTGTTATCAAACTATTCAAATAAATAAACTTAGTATATGTCTCTATGTGTCTTAACATTATAGGAAAAGAAGAGAAAAAACCGACCAATGAATTGAGTGAACATTCTGTATCAGCATCAACTTACAGAAATGAAAATAAAAGCCATGAAAATATTGAGAGTGGATCAAGTGAGTTAGTTGACGGTGAAGAATATTCGCTTTCATCCGAGTCTATAGATTTAGAAACGCTTCACGATGTTGGAATCACAGTTCATATACAGAGTCCAGGTGCTGAATTGCTTTCAGTACAGTTGTCTAGTATGGAGTTGGTGCAAGAAATACATCAATTACTCATGGATCGAGAAGATACTTGTCACCGTACCTGTTTTTCTTTACAGTTAAATGGCATAACTTTAGATAATTTTGCTGAATTAAAAACAATTGAAGGTTTAAAACACGGATCAACAATTAAAGTTATCGAAGAACCTTATACTATGCGTGAGGCGCGTATTCATGTCCGCCATGTGCGTGATTTATTAAAAAGTATGGACCCTTCGGACGCATACAATGGTATTGAATGTAATTCTCTTACGTTTTTACATACTATAACACAAGGAGACTTACTCGAAAAGAAAAAATCGCGATCTGATTCAGTAGATTGTACACCACCAGATTATGTAATGCCCGGCGTGAAAGAAGCTCCACTTATTCCATTGCAACCAGGTTTAAAGAATTCAAGAGTTTCACTGGCACTTAAAATATTAACCACCTCTGCGTGGAATCCTCCTCCAGGTCCTCGTAAACTGCATGGTGATCTTATGTACTTATATGTTGTAACCATGGAAGAGAAACGATTTCACATATCTGCTTGTCCTAAAGGATTTTATATAAACCAATCTACAGACGAAGTTTTTAATCCTAAACAAGACATTGCCAGTCATTTGAATCATTCGTTAATAGATCTACTATCGCAAATTTCACCATCTTTTAAACGCGCATTTCAACAAATGCAAAAGAAGCGTACTTTGCGTCACGCATTTGAACGAGTTGCTACGCCTTATCAATTATATCAGTGGACTGCACCACAATTAGAGCACACAATTGATGCGATTCGTGCTGAAGATGCTTTTTCATCAAAGCTTGGGTAAGCAGATTAATAATTTTTAAACTTATACATATTAATAATTTCCTTTATAGCTATGAGGAACACATCCCTGGACAGACACGTGATTGGAATGAAGAGTTGCAAACTACTCGTGAATTGCCACGTAAAACTTTACCAGAACGTTTACTTCGCGAGCGAGCTATTTTTAAAGTTCATGGAGACTTTGTTATTGCAGCAACTCGAGGAGCTATGGCTGTTATAGATGGTAATGTTTTAGCTATAAACCCTGGAGAGGATCCAAAAATGCAAATGTTTATTTGGAATAACATATTTTTCTCGTTGGGCTTTGATGTACGAGATCATTATAAGGACTTGGGCGGTGATGTAGCCGCCTTTGTAGCGCCCCGAAATGATCTTCATGGTGTACGTGTTTATAGTGCCGTAGATATAGAGGGTCTTTATACATTGGGAACAGTAGTAATAGATTATCGTGGTTTTAGAGTAACCGCCCAATCCATTATTCCTGGGATTTTGGAGAGAGAACAAGAGCAATCTGTTGTTTATGGCTCCATTGATTTTGGAAAAACTGTTCTAAGCCATCCAAAGTATCTGGAATTACTTCGAATGGCCGGTAAGCATTTAAAGATTATGCCACATTCCGTACTAAATGAACGCGATGAACCCGTAGAGCTATGCTCTTCTGTCGAATGTAAAGGCATAATAGGTAACGATGGCAGACATTATATTCTTGATCTACTTCGGACGTTTCCACCAGACGTAAATTTTTTAGTTCTGGATGATATCCATATTAGTCCTGATTTGCAAGCTATGGGTTTTCCAATAGAGCATAAACATAAACTTTCCTGTTTAAGACAAGAGTTACTTGAGGCGTTTATAGAAGACCGTTATGTTACTTTTATACGAAGTGCAGCTCAACATTTACAAAGTTGCAATTCCCAAAAGCCAACGGTTGGAAATAATAATGATTTAGGCTGTGAAGTATTGCAACCGGAAGAGGAAAACCAAATGTCAATAAAATCGAACAATAAAGCGAACGACGTTATGTCGGAGGCTCTAGGCGTTCTTAAAGAAGCACAGTTTAAAGTGGCTGCTTCTGATGAGACACAGGCTGCTGATGTTGTAAAACACGCGTGTGCCGCTGTTGGTTCATTAAAAGAGCAAGAGTTCGATTTTCGTTTCAACCCAGACGTATTTTCGCCAGGAATACGTCATGTGGATGATTCAAGTTGTCATAATTCAATTTCTAAGCAACAAAAACTTATACAGGATGCTGCTGAATTTTTAGTTACAAAACAACTGCCGTCTTTTATTAAAGAACATATGAATCATTCATCACCACCGATGGATGGTACAAGTTTAACAGAGGCTTTACACAGTCATGGCATTAATATTAGGTATGTATATTGAAATTTTAAAGTTTTGTTTATTCAGTGTTTTGTTTGAAGGTATCTTGGAAAAGTAATATACATGTTGGAAAAAATACCTCGCTTGGAATACTTATATAGAATTGCTGTTGTTGAAATTATAGTTCGTGCTACCAAACATATTTATTATTCATACATGCAAAATACGGATGTAATGCAGTTGTCCAACGCCATTAGTCATTTTCTGAATTGTTTCTTGTCTTCGGGCCATGCTGCATGCATTTCAAATGATTCAAGTAAATCTAATCGTCGTGGAAAAAAAAAGTATACCAAAATTGCTAACGGTTCTGGAAGCAAAAACATTTCAGTTGCCGATAATAATGATTGGCTACTTGTAACCCCGAAGTCAATATGGAATCAAATTAAAAAAGAAATTAAATCATATTGGGACTATGATCTCAAATGTGATTCAATTGAAACAGCTATCGAGATATATGGTTTTCATCGAATGAACGTTTTGCGTGCTTTCTGTTTGAAAGTTGGAATACAAGTGTTGTTGCGGGAGTATCATTTTGGTTTACGCAATAAAGCAACGTTTAACGAAGAAGACATTCTAAATGTTTTTCCAATTGTTAAACATATAAGTCCTCGTGCGTCGGATGCATACAATTTTTATACCACAGGTCAGTCTAAAATACAGCAAGGGCTATTCAAAGAAGGTTATGAGCTTATTAGTGAAGCTCTAAACCTTTTAAATAATGTTTTCGGAGCTATGCATTCCGAAAATGGATCTTGCTTACGTATGTTAGCTCGACTTAGCTACCTGTTGGGAGATCCACAGGAGGCCTTAGCAATTCAACAGCGCTCAGTCATTATGAGTGAACGCGTTAACGGTATTGATCATCCATGTACCATATTAGAATACGTAAGTAATATGAAATATAGAAAATAAACATAATTAAACATATATCTTTTAGACACACTTATCTTTATATTGCTTCGCTAATGGTCAAATTGGTGCATCATTGAAATTGCTTTACCGTGCTCGATATTTATTGGTTTTGATATGTGGTGAAGATCATCCAGAAGTTGCCCTCATAGATGTAAGAAATTGTATTCTCAAAATTTCTTTTTTTGTATTATTTCTTTACTGTTTCAGAGTAATATTAGCTTAATTTTGCATGCTGTAGGCGAGTACGAGTTATCTCTGCGATTTATTGAACATGCATTGGGACTAAATTTGAAATATTTCGGAGATAAGTCCATGCACGTTGCAGTTAGTTACCACTTAGTTGCAAGAACTCAGTCATGTATGGGTGATTTTCGTTCAGCTCTAAATAATGAAAAAGAAACGTATGCCATCTATAAATCTCAGGTAACACTGTTTTATCATTTTTTAGATATATGTATTTATAATATTTGTATTAATAATACTTTACTTAAAGCCAAAACATTATCGATTGGATTGGTGTCTGTTGACCATGATTGCCAATCTAAAGTAACACTACGGTTTTCTTGTTTCCATTGAGTATAGAGTCTGCTTCTATGTTTCGGATCATTTTCTTCTCGCAGTATCCAATCATTGTTATTTTTGACGTAAAGCATTTTAACTGACATCAGTAAATCTTTTTATCCCATCTGTAAATATTACACTCGATAGATAGAAATAAATTAAGCTTGCATCTATTGTGTCCCCGTTGTCACAACGAATCACATCGCTAGGTGCTATGAGGCGATGTGATTCCTATTCGGATACATAGATTTAAGGATCTTGATCCTGCGTCTACAGATTGCAGGGCAGTCTAACATAAGGTGCTCGGAAGTTTCCGGCTCCATGTCGCAGAACCGGCAGTTTGCACAAGAGGCGATTCCCATGTTAAATAAGACCAGATAATGCGTACTTTGTTGGAAACTTATAGGCTATTCAGCCGTTCTATGCGCTTCTGCACATTGATGTAATCTCGTAAGCTGAGATCGCTTTAAGTCCCGCTTGACTATCGCTAAGTGTGGCAATACTCTCATTGGCATAGCTGCGTTGGAGATTTGTCTTTACGACTTATAGCAAAGACTTCTACTTGGAAAACGTCTCATAGGTTTGGTATGCGGTCGTGCGACACGTGAAAAATGGCTTCCGAATGTTTTCGAGCCGTCAGTGCACCACTTAATAGTGCTATCTTAGTGGTAGGTCAAGCGAGAAGTTACTTGCCTTACTCCTGAGGGTAACTTTAATTTCTTTGTAAAGATTACCCTTTTGTTAATGCTGTCCACGGATAAAGATCCAGTGGTGTTTCATTACTATATTGTGGGAACGAGATTAAATATATTGATTTATCGCACTTATAGTAGTTTTAAATAAAACCGTTTAATGGGGAGTGTGCGGAGTTATCATCAGATTTTACCTATTTTTACACTGTCGAAAGAGGTGCCAACGGCTTGAATTAGCTAATAAAAAGACAAACATCCCCAAAGGGTAAATGTTTATGGATGCTTCTCTGCTCATGCTCATAAAAATTATTTACTAAAGTCAGCTGAAATGCTTTACGGCAAAATAGGAGCAGACTCCGTACTCAATGTAAACAAAAATCCATATTGTTACTTGAGATTGGCCATCACAGTCACCAGATACCAATCCAATAGAGAATGTTTGAGCTTTAATATAAGCCAAAATATCAAGAAAACAATTAACGTAAACAAAAGATTTATTTCTGCAACTCTAACATACCTGGAGGTCGCTTCCTATGGTATATGCTGAAAATTGAGTTGCAAGTTGTCATCAGAGATGTCTGACTGTAATAAACAACGCGAGAGGTTAGAGGAAAGGTTTATATAATTACAACATTTTCACAAAAAACTGTAGATTAAGCTTATTAGTAGACGGGATCACATCCACCTTTTAAAGATTCAAACCCCAAGTGCACCTCCCTAATAAAATTCGTTGTACTAAATTTGTACAGTTTTGTATCTTAATTTACGGTTTAGTTATGGCATTTAATAAGTACCAAGGAACGAAACAAGTTTTATCAAGGTACCTCAATTTTGACTCAAGCTATCACATGCACGGAAACACGGACGAACACACAGACAGTCATTCAGAATTCAACACGTCTTGTATCGTGATCATTTAAATATATATAACTCCATAACTGTCTCGATTAGTTTTAAGTGATACAAACAATCGTTAGGTGGACAAAACTGTTATACTCTGTAGCAACATGTTACAAGAGTAGAAAAATAATGGTACGTACATATATTTCAATGTAAAACCAAGGTGTAAATAAAACAACAGATAGGTAAGTTATTGAAAGGTATTAACAAAAATTCATTGAAATATTGTAATTTATTGAACAAAGTTCACTGGATTTTTGCAAACTGAATTTCTAGGTTTTCGTTGTATTCTATGCATAGTGTAATATTGGTTACATGAGCTTTCTGCTTTCTTTGGACCTCTACTAGTTGATACAGAAGGCGCAGCTACTTTAGATAGCGAAGAATATCCCAACACCTGTTCAATAGTTATACGGATACCTGGTTGGATGACAACACGAGGTATTTAGTGTACTGTAGATATAAGGACAATCGCTCTTCTTATTTTTCTTGGAACATATAATCCTAGAAGATAACGTACTTCATAACAGCAATCCTCCTTACTCTACGTCTAATAATGAACAAAAGTTATCAACAACTAATGTACGGTCAGTTCCAGCATAACGACTGGTCGGTTCTTGAACCATGTTTTGCGCATGGTTTGGTTCCCTAAACACATTTGATTCTTTATCAATATAAAGAACTATACTCGACATAGTCTGCATCTATTTACAAAAGTTCTTCCTTTTATGTATCTTTTGATGTTTAGAAACTTCTGTTTTTTTACAGACCTAATTTCTTTAGGTTAGGTTAGGTGCTGCTTATATTAGGTCAAGTAAAAAATTTCGTTCGGTTTTTTATTGATTTCAAAAGATGATAACTTTGTGTACATTTGTTCGATTTAAGTCAAATATGCGCCGTTTTGTTCGTAAACTTGTTGCCAACAAGATGCTGAGTTCATTATACCCCTCTCGTAGAAGGCAGCGTCCCTATTGACAAAAAACTCGGAGAGCCAATTTTCACTCTATTCAGGCCAACTTCTCACCATTAAGCGCGTTCGCCATGGACAGGAAAAGATGGTATGGCTCCTCCCATCCGAGCTGCCGGACCTTCTGGCGCGTCACCAAAGACGTGTGTGGCCTGGCGTTGTCCTGATGGAACACAATTCGGCCTCTGTCGATCAAAGATGGCCTCTTCTGGATGAGTGCTACCTTCAAGCGGTCCAGTTGTTGGCAGTAGAGGGCCGAATTGAGCGTTTGGCCATAGGGGAGCAGCTCGTAGTAGATGATTCCTTGCCAATCCCACCCAACACACCGCAAAACCTTCCTGGCCGTCAATTCGGTCTTGGCCACCGTCTGGGCCGCTTCGCGGACCATTGACCACGACCGTTTGCCCTCGATGTTGTCATAAGTGACCCATTTTTCATCGCCAGTCACAATCCGCTTCAGAAACGGGTCGATTATATTGCGATTCAGCAGCGATTCGCAGATGGAAACTCGGTCCATCATGTTTTTTTGCGCTAGTTCGTGTGGCACCCAAACATCGAGCTTCTTTTTGAATCCAAGGTTATGCAAGTGGTTCCAAACGGTTTTCTGGCTTATCTTTAGTTGCATTTTAGCAATTAAATAAGTGCTCACATAACGGTCTGTTTCCACTATTTCCGACGCGTGGTGCATCTTTGACATCGAAATTACTGGAACGGAACCTAGCAAACCACTTTTGTGCTGCACGTTCGTTTACAGTATCGGGCCCATAAACAAAATTAATTTTTTTCAGCCGCTTTGGCTGCTTTTCGGCTTGATCGAAGAAAAATTGTAAAATATAGAGATTTTTCTCTTTGCTGGTGTCCATCTTTGACGAGCGCTCACAACGTACTGAGTCAATCAATCGAAAAACTGTCAAAGACAAACTTGCATCATGTTATACTATACGGCGCTGAAAACGTGTATATTCGCGCTTAAAGTTTGTCTTTGACAGTTATTCGATTGATTTACTCAGTTTGTTGTGAGCGCTCGTTAAAAATGGACACCAACAAAGAGAAAATTCGCTATATTTTATAATTTTTTTTCGATCAAGGCGAAAAAGCAGCCAAAGAGGCTAAAAAAATTAATTTAGTTTATGGGCCCGATACTGTAAACGAACGTGTAGCACAAAAGTGATTTGCTAGGTGCCGTTCCGGTAATTTCGATGTCAAAGATGCACCACGCTTCGGGAGGCCTGTCGTCGAAAATTGCGATAAAATCATGGAAATAGTGGAAACAGACCGTCACGTGAGCACTTATTTAATTGTTGAGGAACTAAAGAAAAGCCAGAAAACCGTTTGAAACCATTTGCATAACCTTGGATTTAAAAAGGAGCTGGATGTTTGGGTGTCACACGAACTAACGCAAAAAACATGATGGACCGAATTTCCATCTGCAAATCGCTGCAGAATCGCAACAAAATCGACCCGTTTCTGAAGCGGATTGTGAATGGCGATGAAAAATGGGTCACTTATGACAACATCGAGCGCAAAAGGTCGTGGTCAAAGCTCGGGGAAGCGGCCCAGATGGTGGCCAAGACCTGATTGACGGCCAGGAAGGTTTTGCTGTGTGTTTGGTGGGATGGGCGAGCTGCTCCCCTATGACCAAACGCTCAATTCGGCCCTCTACTGCCAACAACTGGACCGCTTGAAGGCAGCACTCATCCAGAAGAGGCCATCTTTGATCAACAGATTCCGAATTGTGTTCCATCAGGACAACGTCAGGCCACAAACGTCTTTGGTGACTCGGCAGAAGCTCCTGGAGCTCGGATGGGAGGTTCTAATGCACCCACCTTATAGTCCGGACCTGGCACCAAGTGATTACCATCTTTTCCTGTCCATGGCGAACGCGCTTAATGGTGAGAAGTTGGCCTCAAGAGAGGCCTGTGAAAATTGGCTCTCCGAGTTTTTTAGCAATAGGGACGCAGTCTTTCGCAGGCAACAAGTTTACGAACAAAACGGCGCATATGTGACTTAAATCGGACAAATGTACACAAAGTTATCATCTTTTGAAAAATCAATAAAAAATCGAACGAACTTTTTACTTTACCTAATATTTCTCCCAGTTGCCGCTTTGTTTTCTGGTGGTTGTCTTTAGTAGGCAGAAGGTCCCTGACCTCCACTTTCAGTGCGAACCGAGGCCCATGATCTCTCCACTATTCCACGTCCACGGCTCCTGGTTTAATAAAATACCTAGGTTGTCCGAGAGGAACCTATTCGCGATAACAGCCGAGGCTACCGTCGCATGGTGTAGGTTTCCCTCGGCTACT